TAAAACCACTTCTCATAAAGAAACAAGAATATGGTCCTCCTTTCAGTGAAATACCAATGGTTATCATATTCATTCTTTATAACAACTTACCACATTCTTCATTCTTTCAAGCAGACATATTTATTTATATAAATAAATTTAGATTAATCCTTATTAGGGTTACTAAAGTCATTCAGTCAAGAGCAGTGAGTGATTTTCTCTCTTTCTTTTGTTGCTTGATTAACATTAAAGACACAAATACAGCAGCAACTAAATTAGGCTTCTGTCCCATTAAATACCGAATGCACGGGTGTATTATACTGATACACTTCCGATATTCTCCCAACTTGAGATGTAACCGAGTGTGTTTATGTGAATACTCGTCAAAACAGACAATTCAACATCATTTTGTGTGTATTTCTCCGTTCATGCGATGCAAAAGAGAACTGAATTCAGTTGTGCGCTGTGTGAGAGGCGCTTTTCTGTGTGCGCGCTTCAGGTGTGTGCGCTCAGAAAACCGGACGAATTCAGTTCTCTTTTGTGTCGTCATGCTTTTCAAATGTATCCATATGTCTGCTCTTCTCTTACTCCCAGATATTGAGATTTTTGAACGTTTTATGGGACGTGCAGCAAGTGTATGCTAGCTAATATCCCGCCGGATAGATCAGTAGGCTCACTGCTACAGTTAAAATGTGCACATCTAACCTCCTAACCACGCATGAGATCTGACTGGATCCTACCCTCCCTCGTTTTTATTCGTTGACGAAAATGTAGATTGATTTTCGTAATAGTTTTTGTCATTCAAAAAGAGTTTTTATTTCGTTATCTCGTTTTCATCTGTGAAAAATTGTCGTTGACGAAAATTATTCATCAACGAAATTAACACTGCTTTGAACTGTCAAAAAATGTAATTTTATATTTTTGAAAGTAGATTATGATGTGCATACCAGCCTAGTGTTTTTATGCATGTGGGTCATTTTATGAGCATCTCATATTGGACATATTTGAAAGGTTACAAAAAAGGTCATAATTGGGCACCTTAAGATTGTGAACATATCCTAAAAACATAACTGATCATTTAGAATAATATTAAAGCCTACGCAAAAGATAATAAAACGAGAGTGCCAACAACTCACCAGTATTGAGGTCATCACAGCAGACTTCTATTGAGTCAGAGGAACAGTCACTGAAGTCATCCAGAGATATATCTTCCTGAATCTGCAGTCTTTATAAAACAAAATGAAAAAAAAAAAGTTAATTAGACAATTATTGCTCTTTTCAAGAGCCTCATAACCAAAAACCCAACTGGAAACGTGTACCAAACATTCACTGAACGCCAGCCAAGAATTCTTAGTATTTTTCACTAACTGTTAACAATCTAGCAATAACAATCTGAAAATAATTCTAAAATCTATTTTCTATCAGCAGCTTTGTCCCTGTAACGCCTGGTTTATATTCAGTTACACTAACATGGCAGTCACCCTGATGCCAGTGTATATCGTGCCCACCGGGTGTCCACTGCACTGAGTCATTAGAGCAGATAATTCAGAGAGTGTTCGCGCTGGCAGGAGAAGCTTTTTAAGCATCTACTCTGCCCCAGAATTCCCAGCAGGCATACAGAGGGCAGGAGCGACAGTCTCTGAGAGTGGGATAGAAACTTAAACCGCATGACTGATTCGGCGCTGGAAAGATTACGAGTGGAAAAGGAGGCTAATCTATCAGCGTAAATGACGGACTGTCATATTTGTCAAAACTGGATGAAATGGGGAGAAAAAGGGTGAGAGAGACCAAAAAAAAAGAGAGATTGAGCTGGGCACAGACATATGTGAGGACAGACAGAGGAAAGACAAATTATAGCAACAGAACTGAATTGCTAGAAAAGTAACAAACCATGTAATACAATAAATGTACAGCAGTTAAAACATGTTAAGACATTTTGGAAAACACTTGAAATGCTGTAAAATATAGCCTAATAAAAGTTTATTAGGCTAGCTTGGTAGAAAGATACAGTGCATTTTCAACTCGGTTTCTGCAAGATTAGAATTTCTACCCTTCATCATAACAAAAAAAGAGTTTACTCAAACTGTTGCTTCAAACACTTTTTCTTTTGGACATTTCACGTTTGAAAGTTGTAACCCAGGATAATTTTTTAAAAACAGATCCCAATGTAATCCTGGGTTATCTTGAGTGAGCTTGATCTATCCTGACTTACTTTTTGTAAATCCTGGTTTAATGTTTTTATTTGCATATTTACATGGTTAGCAATATTATATGCATCAAATTTAACTAATTTTATATATGTCTTGCCCACTCAGGTCAATTGTATAGATGACCTGAGTGGGCAACCTCTTGACCATGAAAAAAAATAAAAAATAAAATAAATATAAAATGTAAATGAATCTGATTCCAATTAATGTAAGCAGGATTCTTAACCCGGGTTTAAAAGTGAACTCTCAGAAAAACTGTACTTTTTGAGATACAACAAGCGATTTTGTATCTAATTTACACCTAAAAGGTTTACAGTAGCACCTTAAAGGTACATATTACTAATTTAAGGTACTAATATCCATCTTTTAGAGGTAGATAAGGTCCCTTTAAGGTTACTTCCCCAGTTACAACCTGTTGTATCCCTAAAAGTACCATTTCTGAACATGTTTTTTTTTCTGACAATGTGGCACTAATTCCCTTTTAAAAATAAGTGTGAAACTTTGTTTAACCCAGGGTTAAAAGCACCGTTAATATGTTAGCCAAGTGTTAACCATAGTGTGAAAAGTGTGTGGTACAACTGTATGAAACCTCCTTGCTGAAAAGACCAGCATAGCTAGTCGAGGTGCTGATGTCCCTATTAGACGGCTTAAATAGCAAGCCAAAAATGTCAAAAAGCTTCACTAGAAAAGCCATCATGGAGAGTCAGTTCTATAGGCTATGCTATGCTGGTGAAAAGCATCAACTATGCTGGTCCACATGAAACTAAATCTGCACTAACCAAAATACACCAACTTGGCATCCATTTCCCAAAGCATTGACCCAACTAACTAATACCCAACTATGACCACAAGTTCTGTCGTTACTAACAACGATTCAGCATTTCCTGAAACCACTGTTTCACAAACAGACTCGCAAACTTGTGTGGTTGGAACAGTTCTCAACCTGTGGTTAAAAGGATAGTTTCTTGTTAATTTCTGTATCATAATATGGTAGTTAAGCAGCCAGTTAAATAGTTGTATGGGAAACGCACCCCTGCTCTTTTCTGGTCCTGGTCTAAGCTGATCTCTTAATCATAGTAGTGCTACAATCCTTCAGTATATTTTCCATAACTTACCTGTATCTGAAAGGTGCCACAGCAGCCATATTGACCTTCAGTGACTGTTTGGCTTTGAGCCTCTCAACACTAGAGGTTTCCTGTTTCGGGACTGCAGTAGTCTCGGGGGGTGTTTTTTGTGGGACCTCCGGGCTGAGGTCATCTGGGGTGCACATCTCCTCATCTGAAAAACTACTAGAGGCACTGTTCTGCAGGGACACTCTCTCTCGATGGACTCTGAGGAGACCCGTATCTACGTTAGTGGCTGCTGGACCAGGCCTCACGTTTTTGTTAATAAATCTGAACAAAGGGATTCCCGTCTTGCTGTGACTGCTTCCAGAAGCAGCGCTCTCCTCATGGCATTTGAGTTCTTCTGAGATCAAACTGTTATCGTTGTCCATTCTTCCCATCTGAGAACGAAAGTTTCCACTCTGGAAGTTCTTGTTGCCATTGAACCGAAGGTCAAGCAAACTCTTGGACCCATCCAGAGCACCCCTCGAAAGTGGGGACTCTTTCCGTCGAACTTGTGGACTGCTGTGGGCTGATCTAGAGTCTTGGGTCTGAGTTTGAGGACTGGTGGAAGAACGTTGACTAGGTGGACTGCCTCTTAGTAGCAGATGCTGGTTTCTGAGGGTGGTGTCCCTCAGCACATCTCTGTAGGAGAAAGCTGTAGGGCTGCTGCTACAGGAGGTTTTGTTGCTAACGGGGACGTGTGTGGACGGTCTCGGAAGGCCACTACTGGTGCTCTTGGGCTCAGGTTTCGGGGAGGGGTGTCTTGTCCTGTGCAGAGGAATGCCAGAGCCCGGCTGGGCTCGTGGAAGACTCTTCACATTCACTCCCCCACTCATGGTGGCACTAAATCAGATGCTGAAAAAAAGGGGAACAAACACCATTAGAACCTAAGAACCAGTGCTTGTTGATGAATTGCATGCACACTCATTCCCTTGTGTCCTCTCCATAGCCATTGGTTTGTTGACGGTAAACCCTTCAACACAAATTCAAGCTGAGAGATAACTTCACCAATATAAAGGAAAACATGTAAGACACTGGTTATGGGTATGTACAGTACTGGATGTCTGATATGCATTTTCTGGATCCATATAGGAGTTACAATGGTTTGAAGTATCATTTCAAACAAACATCTGCAGCTCTATACAGTTCAACAATATGAACAATATGAAAACAAAACTGTAACCGTTTTCTGAACATGTATTACAATTGAACAACCTGTTAGGGTTAACGTGAGGGATTAGGAGTTATTTTTCTCATGTACTCTAAAGAGTGGAAAAATCTTTACATTTCCTGAATAAACAGTTAAACTATACAAAGCAAAGCTTTAATATCTTACAGGGTTTCTCTACGGGGGTTCACAAACTTCTAGGGGCTCATGATGGAACTGCAGGGGGTTCTCGAGATTTCCGAGTAACAGAAACGCCAATGCTGAACCGAAAGTGAGCAGGAGGAAATGGTGGATTTTGGATGAAAGCCCATCCATATCTGCCTGGTTAGGATGACTCTTTTTATGTGGGGGGGGGCAAAAGAAAAGAAAAATACAATAAAACATTACAAAATTACAGTAACAACTATTTAAGATCTTTCAGTTTGATATTTGATTAAAAAAAAAAAAGCCTAGGAACCCCTGGCCAAGGAGTCTCAAAGAAAGCGAAATGAAGTCACTATAGGAGCTCAGAGAGACTACTCTATCTAAATGGTGGTACTCAAGAATACATTGTAAATTCCCACCTGTTACATTTAAACACAAATGGCATGGGCTGTTTGACCAAATCTGGGAAAATCTCTTCAAGAGCTTCTCTAAGCAAAATCCTGCCATGGGGAAGGATTTAGCACTAGTGGTTAAGAGTCTTGTGAAAGAATACAGGAGAAAGGACAGTCGTTATTTGAAATACTTGCTTTAGAATCAAAACAGGTGATTATATCAATCTCATTTTGCTAAGCCAACGAAACTCTTCCCAAATACTGTAAAGCTCCATCTGGTCACCCAAATAAATCTACTAGCAATAGCAATGCAGAGATTCACTGTGGTCCAGTCAAAGACCTTTAAACCCCTGCCAGTTATTCTGGCAGCTATATCTGCCATTCAGTGGCCAAATGTCCTAAAGGCTTTCATTCCAGCCCACAGACTGGCCAAGATGGCCAAAACCCTCACTGTTTACTAACAGTCTCATGGTAACTATTGACCTTCAAATGTACGTGCAAATCTCAATCCATCAAAATCAGGGCCCTACAAACAACAGGCAGTAATGCTTTCTGGCAAATCCGAATCAGAGTAAGTGTTACGATTCAGAGTCTGTGGGACACCCAACGAGTGGTGGGATGCAAGTCATCTGTGGCCTAAATTCAAGCCACAAACCTCACAACAAATTTCACATTGAAGAGAGGACGTAATTCAATAGCCCTGATTTAAAAGGTTTACACATTTTCAATTGTTGAACATTACACTTGGGAATGTTCAGTTTTCCCTGAGAGATCTGACTGTGACGGAATTAAACAAGAAAATAACTTCACATACAGGGAGGCAGTAAAGAAATGGAATTTCTTATATTCTTCTCGCTTAATCTACTTTTATCCATGTCTATCTTCCTCTATCTTTTTAAATTTAGTTACGCATTATTTAGCCACAAAATTAACCAATTACATTTCTCTAATCAACAAGCATAAAAAGCATAAAAGTTAACTTTATTTAATTAGTTAACTGACTTCACAATGCATATCAGTGTCATAAGCTATTAAAATATAAATTTAAATCAAAACTAAAACGATTAAAAATTGTTTTTGTGAACTGAAATAAAGATGAAATAAAACATAAATATTAGATGAAAAACTTAAAGCATTTAAATGCAAATTAGAAATGTTGCCTTTGAAGCAATTGAAGTAATACATTTAAACTAAAACTGCAATAAAATGAATTAAAGATTAAGAGAATAGTAAAAAATAGAACTAATAAAAAGCACATTAAATTACAATAATGTAATTTGTTTAATGAATTAGTATAGAATAATTAGCATAATAAAAAGTGTAATGAAGTATAGTTTAAAGTATAACAGTACATTATAAATAATTATAAAATATAACAGGTATATAGCTCAACAAAGTTATTTTAAAAGTTGTTTAATTAGGGTTAAAAACCTAGTTCAAAACCCTATTAAAAGGTTTTATTATTATTATTATTACTGTCCTTCAAATTAAAATGTATATATGCTATAGCTGCTGTCTGGTTAACAAATGAACAATAAAACCAAAACTTTAGTCAACTATATGTTTAAGGTACTGTGCTCTCAGAACAAGAGTATTTTTTTTATAAATGTCAGATTAGGTCAAGTTGTCACAAGTTTTTTTCAGAGCTGTAACAGAGAAAATAACAAACAGCTTTTCTTTTCTTTTTTTTATAGACAAGACTTCAAAGTATCCCTCTCTATGGTATATAGAAATGGAGTTTCATAAAATAAGCATTTAAAATACTCACTGGAAACTGAAAAGTGTGACAACTACCTGCAGCATCCACTATTATTACACATATACTAACAGGAGCACAGAACATCCGATAAAACACAGCAAAATTCCATCACAGCCTATAACAAATTCTGCTCTAACGTAGTTAGGGTTGCTTTCACCCACAGTTCTGTCACAGCAGGGTAAGATCCAGCCACATGAAACAGAACAATGGGAAAGATTTCAGAAATACACCGACACATAAGAATAAGGCCATTGTTCAAACACTCTAATCCCATAAATAAATACCTGGTCACCCAAATAAATCTACTAGCAAAAGCAATGCAGAGATTCACTGTGGTACAGTCAAAGACCTTTAAACCCCTGCCAGTTATTCTGGCAGCTATATCTGCCATTCAGTGGCCAAATGTCCTAAAGGCTTTCATTCCAGACCACAGACTGGCCAAGATGGCCAAAACCCTCACTGTTTACTAACAGTCTCATGGTAACTATTGACCTTCAAATGTACGTGCAAATCTCAATCCATCAAAATCAGGGCCCTACAAACAACAGGCAGTAATGCTTTCTGGCAAATCCGAATCAGAGCAAGTGTTACGATTCAGAGTCTGTGGGACACCCAACGAGTGGTGGGATGCAAGTCATCTGTGGCCTAAATTCAAGCCACAAACCTCACAACAAATTTCACATTGAAGAGAGGACGTAATTCAATAGCCCTGATTTAAAAGGTTTACACATTTTCAATTGTTGAACATTACACTTGGGAATGTTCAGTTTTCCCTGAGAGATCTGACTGTGACGGAATTAAACAAGAAAATAACTTCACATACAGGGAGGCAGTAAAGAAATGGAATTTCTTATATTCTTCTCGCTTAATCTACTTTTATCCATGTCTATCTTCCTCTATCTTTTTAAATTTAGTTACGCATTATTTAGCCACAAAATTAACCAATTACATTTGTCTAATCAACAAGCATAAAAAGCATAAAAGTTAACTTTATTTAATTAGTTAACTGACTTCACAATGCATATCAGTGTCATAAGCTATTAAAATATAAATTTAAATCAAAACTAAAACGATTAAAAATTGTTTTTGTGAACTGAAATAAAGATGAAATAAAACATAAATATTAGATGAAAAACTTAAAGCATTTAAATGCAAATTAGAAATGTTGCCTTTGAAGCAATTGAAGTAATACATTTAAACTAAAACTGCAATAAAATGAATTAAAGATTAAGAGAATAGTAAAAAATAGAACTAATAAAAAGCACATTAAATTACAATAATGTAATTTGTTTAATGAATTAGTATAGAATAATTAGCATAATAAAAAGTGTAATGAAGTATAGTTTAAAGTATAACAGTACATTATAAATAATTATAAAATATAACAGGTATATAGCTCAACAAAGTTATTTTAAAAGTTGTTTAATTAGGGTTAAAAACCTAGTTCAAAACCCTATTAAAAGGTTTTATTATTATTATTATTACTGTCCTTCAAATTAAAATGTATATATGCTATAGCTGCTGTCTGGTTAACAAATGAACAATAAAACCAAAACTTTAGTCAACTATATGTTTAAGGTACTGTGCTCTCAGAACAAGAGTATTTTTTTTATAAATGTCAGATTAGGTCAAGTTGTCACAAGTTTTTTTCAGAGCTATAACAGAGAAAATAACAAACAGCTTTTCTTTTCTTTTTTTTATAGACAAGACTTCAAAGTATCCCTCTCTATGGTATATAGAAATGGAGTTTCATAAAATAAGCATTTAAAATACTCACTGGAAACTGAAAAGTGTGACAACTACCTGCAGCATCCACTATTATTACACATATACTAACAGGAGCACAGAACATCCGATAAAACACAGCAAAATTCCATCACAGCCTATAACAAATTCTGCTCTAACGTAGTTAGGGTTGCTTTCACCCACAGTTCTGTCACAGCAGGGTAAGATCCAGCCACATGAAACAGAACAATGGGAAAGATTTCAGAAATACACCGACACATAAGAATAAGGCCATTGTTCAAACATTCTAATCCCATAAATAAATACTGGGATAAGCAGAAAATTAGCTTTCAGTAAATTCAGTAAAAGACAGGGTCTAGTAGTCCATTTCATCATAGTATGTATCTTAGACTGTATGAGGTTTCACTTACCATTTGATAAGCAATAGAACATCGAATACATCAGATTTTTTTTTAAATTTTATGTATTAAAGTGCATAATTTAGTACAACTGTAGATCAATTGCTTAAAATGGCTTTAGGAGACAACATGAACTAAAATCCACCCCAATAAACTTAAGCAGACTGAAACAAATACAAAAAGTTAACATTAAGTCTAACAGGTCAGCATTATGACCAACATTAATTGAGTCTGACAAGACAAGCCAG